AAAACTACAACATATGGTGTTAAAAAATGTGGTTGACGGCCCATAATATTATGATAATTAAAATTAGAAATGGGTACCCTTATCTTTTCTTTGTTTTATTTTGAAGATGATCGCAAAAAGAGATTAAATAAAAAAATTTTTTTTTTATATTTTTCAATCAATTGATCATCCTTTTAACCAATTATGGTTAATTTACAGCACAAATTTATGTACATGTATGCTTTTTTAATTGTAAAGAATTAAAATTAATTTTAGCCGGCATTATAAAATTGGCCAGAATTATGGTATATAAAATTTAATTCGGCCAAATTTATGAGGACATAGTCCATTTGAATTGGAATTGGACTGGATATCTCCATTAGGTCCAAAGTCCAATAGTCCACTATTGGGAATTGGACAATGTCCAATTCCAACACTGTTGAATACTATTTCCTGGTTAGCTGGTACTATAACAGTTTTCTAGTAAACAAGACAGGATTCCATCATATGCACAAAAATCATTGGTTTGTTTATTGTACGATAATTGGTAAGTCATGTATAATACATTATGCAATTTATGTATGGTGTGCTTTCTATCACTTTGTTACAGAATAAAGATATTTGTTTATTTTACTGATTTCAAATATATAAATTGTCATTGATAATAAAAAATTTTCAATAATCTTAATGATTAATAAATGATATATTTTATTTATAAAAGGTAAGAAATTTTTTAATTAAAACCAAGTAATTACTACTAATAAATTTCCTTTACTAAATCATAAATGTCAATAGATAAATAGCAATAATTTTGAACTCTAATATTATTACGTAACTTGAATTCCTTCACTTTATCATTTAAATTAAGAAAGTCATCATCATATTTAATAGCCAAATACTTAACTCTTTTCTTTTTAATAATATATTCCCTTAAATAATATAAAATATCATCATTACCATTTTGCATTATTAATAATTTTTTAATAAAAATATTCTGAGAATTTTCTAAAAATATTTTAAAATCATTTGGTTTAATGTGAAGAATCAAATGCAAATATTCTAATTTAGAAGGAAGGATTTGCCCTAAATTTTGTAATAATAATGAACTAAACTCATAATAACCAATTAGTAATGATTGATAACATTCACTGATCTTAAGATAATTAAGATTCTGTTTAATATTTTTAATTAAATTGATTACTAAACAAGTAATTTGTTTTCCAATACTCTGTAAATTAAGACGTTTGATATTTTTACAATATTTTATAATTAATTCTAACAATTGTTGATTTAATGATAAAACCAAACTAAATCTACACATTAAATTTTCTAAATAATCACCAGATATTTGTAATAATTTTTGCAATGGTTCAATTTGTGGTATCCTGTCTATAAATAAAGTTTTTAATTTAAATGGTTTAGTTAAATTATCAATTTGTTGAACAAACTGAGAATCTAATGAAAAACAATGAATGATATGAACGGACTCTAGAACGTTTAATTGTTCTAATATTTTATCTAGGTTGATTAGATTATTAAAATTGATGCGATAGAATATGATTGTATTTAAGGTATTCGAACAATTAAAACCTTTTGATAATAATAATGATTTAAATAAAGGTAAATTATTATCACCAAAAATAATTTTTTTAAGATTTTGGTGTAAATTAATTATTTGTAATATACGATCTTCAATTAATGTATGATCATTATTGTAGTAATAAAAATCAATATCATTTTTATTATCAATATAAAGTTTTAAATTTCCAGTATTGTAAATGAAATTCGTATTTTGTAAAATTGACTCAAGAATATTAATAAAAAATATATAATAATAATAATTTGAGATCTCAATTTCAAGAGTATTTAAATTTACTTCATTTTCAATAAATTTTTTAAATAGTGATATAATAACCAATCTTTTAATATCACATATTAAATCTATATTTAAACGTTGTTTTGAAGTTATAATAATATTTTCAACCCAACTATTAGCAAAAGTAGCCATATTAAATGTATTCAAATATTTTAAAAAACTGGGATAATTGAATAATGCACTTGAAGTTAATGAATTATCTCTAATTCCATATTGATTTAATTTTGTTTTTAAATCATCATTTAAATCATATAAATAAATTTTAATAAGATTAGAATTTTTTTTATAATTTTTACTAGGAATTAAAAATGGATTTTCCCATAATAATGGAATAGTTATACGACACCATAATCTGTTAACTAAAACACATGAATATAAAGTTGAAAAATCATTTTTAAAATATTTGATAACTTCATATGTTAATTCAGGTAAATCTACTATAGATATTTTTGGATGTGCCATAACGAAATTTAAAAAAAAAAGTGAAAAAGGGAGTATCAAATTATTATGCTTGAAACGGGTAAATTTTATTAATTTTCGGAGTGATGATTCCGATATTGTTTCACAATTCATAAATAATTATGTGTAACGTGTTTTACTGCATGCAGGTTGGCAAATCATTTCGTAATGTTTATTACTACTTTGCAGATCTTTTTTTTTCTTTTTTTTTAAATGTTATTTATTTTGAATTAAAAAATTTCATGTGAGATCTATAGTACATAAAATGCGAAATGACCCAGAAATATATATATAGGGGTCAGGTGTATAGTTGCCGCCGAAATTATTATTACGGTTACGGCACGTGCCGTAATCACCGTAATTAAAAACCGTAAACCGTAATTGCCGTAATGCCGTAATGCCGTAATTTAACTTGACGCCGTAATGCCGTAGTGTAATATGCCGTAAATAAATAAGACTAAACTTAATTTCAGCCGTTCGTAATGCCCGGTCAACTTTTTTAGCGTTATATCACGTGACGTTACACCAATTTCCAAAAAAGGAAATTTTGTCCCTCAATAAATCAAAGAAATGGGTTACACAAGGTTACACAAGGTGCTAAAAAAGGAGATCTTTTTACCGATCATTTGGTATTATTCAAGTCACGTAATCATAATTAATTACGGCATTTTATTACGGTTACGGCATTATTTACGACATATGGGACCCAGAAAAAACTCTTTCCCACAAAAATCTGGAACAAAATTTACAAAGTTGGACGTTTTAATTTTTATTATTACAAAAACTTTCTTTTCCACTTACTATTGGAAAGAGAACTTTTATACACTTTATTTACTTTTAAAAGACATACACTTTATTTACTTTCGAAAGATATACCCAATATTTTTACATAGTTTTTTTGTCATATTTTCTTCCTGCTGTTTTTCATATACATAATAAGGAACAATTTTTGGCTCACACTGGTATTTATAAATACCCTCTTCTCTTTATAACGAATATGGAAACCTCTCAAAAGGACTTATGTACAGAGAACTCCCACCCCAAAGGACCTCTAGAAGGCTCCAAAGCTATTGTTCGTTTATACCGCCCTTGCAATACTTACTCTTTTTCCTTTCACACGAAGAGAATCAACCCATATGAAATCACTGATACACGTGGCAGTGGTACACTATACAACACCAAAAAAGCTCGATACTTCCTCATTGAGTTAGATCAACATGCTGATCTAGATCTAACAAGGAAAAATTTTTTTACCGTTTACACCAATGATATTGAAATGACTCATGATCATCAAAGGATCTTCAATTCAAGTAGTAAAAAACTTAACATCAACTACCTAATAGGGACATACCTTACCTTCACATTTGCTATTAATCGACAATTTTCACCTGACACCGTTAAAAAATATTTTAAACGTTTACGCCAACTATTATTAGTAAAATTTTTAGCAATTAAAAATAGATTATCTTCTGATAGTATTAAAAATAGACAAACCAATACTTTTATTAGATTTAGTTCTGGTTCCCACGTGATCTACCTGGGATTCTATCTACCATGTGGTATGAATAATTTATTTGGATTGGGTAAACACTGTGATCAACCTGCAGCTTTCGTTCTATCTAGAAATCGATGGAAATGTCATACACACCTCTTAAATATAGAAAATGTCAATTTAAATATACAAACCAATTCAAAATTTCCTAGTAATCCTGCTTTGTACAAATGCTTGACTGATAACCCCCGAGCCAAAAAAGTTCATTCAACACGACTAGGCGTGAAATATGAAGTTGTAATCAAAAGATACCGACCTTACAAAGGTAACAATAATCAAAATTTGAAAGAAATTATGGAGCCAACCATCACTTTATCAAAGAAAGGTATCCCCACGCTTCGACCTTTCTATAAAGAATATAGAAATCTTGAATTTGACATCGTTCGCTCACCACAACAAATCAAACGTTGGAATCGTTTGAAACAATGCATCATCAATTCTGAATGAAGAATTCATTATAATAAACCTTATTTACTCAGGCCAGGACGTGATCATTACACACAATCAGTTGTTTTTAAACAACTAAGCCATGTTGCTGAACGTGGCTCAATACATCCATCTTATGAAGGAAGAAGTAATAAGGAAAAGATAAATTTGAAACGTGCCAAGAATTGGCTACGTAGAATTAAAAAACGAAATAAACTCAAGAAGTCACTACCACCTTTACCTCCAGATTTTAATGGTGATCCCCGAGTGTTTTATAATAATACATACCATATTAATCTTTTTGATTATAAAGTTCGATGACGTTTTAACGTGTCAACCATCCCTCAATACAACTATGGATATACCAAAGCTAAACAACTTTATGATGATTATATACTGAGACGTTCATGTCCTCTAATCACCGAATATTTACCACCGATCGACAAAGACAAAAATATTTTTTTTATATCAGATGCTCACCTGGAAATTATTAATGATAATAATATTTTCTTTCATCGCCGTACACCCCCTCCTGACGAGATTGATGATGATAAAGGAAGACTCCAACGACCTCTAATGAGGAACAAAAGAAAAAAAGTTGAAATCCTACCCTCACCTGGGCAGGATCTTTGATTACTCTAATATATAGTTTTACCCTTAAAAAACAATTACGGACCTATAAGGATACACCATTTTGTATATGACAGTATTTACATACAATAACTAGTTTCTAGTTAAAAGAAAAATACGGATGACTTGACTTGAATTCTTTTTTTTTAGGTTTCTTTTTGTTCGTCTTTAGTTTCATTGCCCCATTCGAAGTATTAGCGTAGTTCTAGTAGTTTGAATAGTATTGTTCGAAGGGTGGGGTCCCGTAGGGATTAATTTCCAAAATTCTATACACGCCTAATTGTACCATCATGTAAATGATGTTTTACTCTTATTTTGTAATAGTTTTGGGAGTACTACTCTTTTAGTAATAAAATAAAAAAATAAATAAATAAATAAATTATTTACGACATATGCCGTAATGCCGTAATGCCGTAATTAGGGAATTTCGATGGCACCTATAGTCAGGTGGGGATTCCTTAATGTACAGTGGGGGTGTACGATATTAATGTACGAACTGGCCAGAATTAACGTTAACGCTATCACGTGCAAGTGCATAACTCTTAAACTCGGGCCAGTTTGTACGTTAATATTGTACACCCCTACTGTACGTTAAGGATGCCCTAGTCAGGTGATGAAAAAAATTTTTACTCTGAGCTGTACGCATTTTTTCAGGGCTGGAATTATGATAATGTCAGTCAGTTACTATAATAGGAAATAAAATTCTGACTGGAATTATCAAAAATTATCTAAAAAAGGAAAGATTTTCATGATTTTTTTTTTTTAGTTCAAAATACGCAAACTCAAACCTGACCCTTTTATATATATTTCTGAGTCCTAATGCGAAACTATAAAAGAGATTATTAAATATCAAAATTGTGTATTAACTGATTATTAAGCAATTATTGATTGGCTAAAGTTTTTCTTCAGTTTCAACTTCTATATAATTTTGCATTTAATTGACTAAATTTAATACTGTTTCAGAACGATCAATTATTTATAATAAAGAAATGATATAAAAATTAAACTGTGAACTTTCAGTATATATAGATTTATAACTTTTATATAAAGTTAAATAATTTCTTATATAAGATTTATATACTTACAAATTTATATAAAAAAAAATAGGTAGCTCTTCTATTAAAAGATATTATTCTTTATTTTTGTATCTTTATAAACTATATAAAGATTATAATAATTTATATTTTTATTTTAAAAAATAAGTAGAAAATTACATAATTTTATGTAAAATTGTATGTATAATATTTTGTAAAGATAAATATAATTTTTATAATTCATACATGTATGTAAAAATTTATACAGTATATATTTAGCTAATTAATAAAATTATTTTTGTACTAACAGATATATCATTCAACCAATCAAACCAATTGGTAAATCAGTTTGGTAAGTCCTATGACTAATACCGCAGTTACTGAGTTTGGTAGGTTTATCAATCAAACCTGTATAAGTAGCAATTATCTATCTTAATACATAATGCATATTCTTTTCCAAGGAATATTTTCTTACAACTTTCTTTATTACATACAGTATATCTCCAACTTTCATATTACAATAACAAATATTATTATTAATTATGTTGTTTAACATTGCAAATGAAAATTATACACTAATGACTAATATGACATTAGTTATCAATAATTATCATTATTATTGACATTGAAATTTTTATCATTATCATTATTATCATTGATAATTAAAAATTTTCCCAATTTTACAGTCATATTAATAGTTATAATCATATCACCAGAAGGAAAATATGGAGATGTATTACTGGTATTCTTATTAAAAGAAAGATGATTCAGTATCATCCAGATAACTTGATATCATACATATATCACTATCTTTACTCATCAATAGACCATTATTAGACCATATAAAAAATTTATGGAAAAAAACTCCAATAAATAATCATTTTTCTAGTTTTTATTCCAAAGAAACTCAGACACGTGATCATCTTTCTGAAAATTTTTCATGGGGAAACCAATGAGTAAATTTCTTTATGGAGACGAAGAAAAGATAATGGACAAATGTGATGAATATTATTATTAATTCTTATTGTTATTATTATCCAAAATCTTGCTTTTATAAGAACAATAATTCCTTTATATCATAATCACATCATTATGGTTGTTTATATTATCAACTTTCAATAACCAACACACAGTCCTATTCTCATCGTATGGCTATTAGTAATAAGAAAAAAGAAAAGAAAAGAATTTAAGGAAAATTGTTTCTTTTTTAATTTTTATGAATACTATTGTTGTTCTTATTAATAATGAGAATGTAAGCTTGCCGATATATTAAAAAAAAATCAGAAATTTTAGAATATCATATGCAGATATACTCACCCATAGCGTATTTGCGAGTCCATTCCCTAACAATAGCTTCATAA